TTGCACAGCGCTGGCGCGCGCTTGCGCCTGGGCGCCTGCCCCCCAAAACGAGGCACTCGGCGCCAAACGTGGCCCCGCACCCGAGACGCGGCTGGTTCTCCAAGTCCCGCCACGCGGAGGCCCAGTCGGTGCAAATCTCGGGAAAAGAGAAAGACAGCTGGAGTGAAGACAGCAAGGATGCGGCCTAGGAGGAAAAGAATGAAGCAATGCAGCCCCGCCAAGCCTGCTCCTCCTTGCCGGCGCGCGGCGGAGAGGGAGGGGGGAGAGAGGTCCGCGGGTGTCCTCGCCTACTCGACCAGCTCCTGGAAGCCAGGGCTGTGCCTGACCTGGTGGCGGAGTCTTGCAGCAAGAGCGGCCCCTTGTGAACAGATCTCGGGAGGAGGGGGCGGAGGACGAGAAGGCGAGGGGTGAGGCCGCGCATGAGCGGCATCACTCCAAGGAAGCCTGGCGCCGAGGCGCCCCCTGCTCCTCCACAGGATCCGCTTCGGCGCAGCCTCGTCGGCACGCCTGCCCAGAGCATTGTCCGGCTCTGGGGGGCCATCTTCGGCGACATGGCTGAGCTGGCCGTTCCAGCGGCCCACCTCCATGGCGATGTCCGCCAGGCCAGCCCAGAGGCGGGCAGCAGCGTCCGTGATGCTATGCAATGTTGTTCCTGCTTTGGAAAAACGAGTGGGGTAGCCCAGCCACCGTCCACGTCGGCCTGCGTCGCGTGTGCGAGGATCTTGTGGGCAGGAGGAGGGGGACGAAGACGACAACGAGGAAGAAGAGGAGAGGAGAGAAGTGAGGAGGAGAAGTAGGAGGAGGAGGAGGACGACGACGAACACGAGGAAGAAGAGGAGAGTATAAGAGAGAAGTGAGGAGCAGGAGGAGGAGGAGGGGAAGGAGGAGGATGAGGAGGAGAAGGAGGAGAGGACGACGACGACAACGAGGAAGAGGAGCGGAGAGGAGGAGTTAGAAGGAGGAGGGGGACGAAGACTACGACGACGAGGAGGAAGAGGAAAGGGGGGAAGAGTGACAGGATGGCTTCTGTGATGAGGAGGGCCAGGAGAGACGACCGGACGGTCGCTGGGAAGGGAGCGCCAGAGGAGGGATTCTGCAGTAGCAGGAAGGGGGCGAAGGGAATGGTATGTACGGGAAGGAAAAGAAGAGAGAAGGAGAAGGAGGATGCGGAAGAGAAGAACAGCTTAACTCCCTCCATCCTTTTCCATATGCATAACTCCTCAACGTCCCACCCCGAAGCGTGTCGGTAGGACGGGCCAGGCGTTTCGCCTGAGACTTCCTCACCGTTTAGGGCCCTGGAACTTATACTTTGCAAATAGCTTCAAGGTTGGATGGCGGGTGGCTTTCTAAATTTGGCTTTCGCTTTAGTACAATGCACATCGCTGTGTTGCAAAAGGATGGAGGGCGGGTGGCTTTCAAAATGCGCGTCTTAACTTAGAGCATCGCATATTCGTTTTTGTAACAGCTTCAAGGTTTCATGGCGGGTGGTTTCAAATTGCGGTTGTCCCCCAAGCGCCGCGCACGTTCGTTCCAAATCGCTGAACCAGCTCCAAGGATGAGGGTGGGTGGTTTTCAAAAGTTGGCTCTCGCCTAAAAAAGAGGCCGCGCACGCTCGTCTAAAAAATCGGCAGCAGATTCAAGGATGGATGGCGGCACCGCACATTTTTTTCAAAAGATACGCCAGTCCTGAAAGTGATGCAACAACTTCAAATGCGTTTCTGCTTGACGTCCCAAGGATGGTGTTCTGGCACGAGTTAAGGTTACCTGGGCGCAACAGGCCACGTTGATTCGCGGTGCGGAATTCCCAAGAACTGTGTTCAAGCACGACTCACGATCGCCTGGCCGCAGCAGGAACGTTGATTCACGGCGTTGAACTCCCAAGAATGCTGTTGGGGCCCAACTGGGGATTCTGAGACGGTGATCTTCCAACGGGGCACTCCCCGCAGCGAACACACATCTTGTAGGGACCTATGAAAACAAGAAGTGGTTTCGGGCTTTCGCTTTGAATCGTTCTCTGCGGGCGCACACCTTCTCTGTTCCCTCGTTGTCTTTTCCCTCCTGCCTGCCTGCTACCCTGTCTCCTACCTCGCCGTCCTTGGGGCTGCGATCTGCGAAATTGCCCCTGTTTTTGAAAACAGCTGGGGGTCCAGCGGAAAGACGCCCGAAACGGATTCAGACTAGACCTCGCCATCCCTGGGGGGCTGCGATCTGCGAAACTGTCGTCACACTCGAAGGTTGTTGCAGGGGTCAGCACAGTGACGCCGTGAACGGCTTCGGGTTAGACCTCACCATCCCTAGGGTGGTGCGAACTGCGAAACTGTCGCCACTTTCGAGGCCTACTGGGAAGACCAGCGGAGCGACGTCCCACGCGGACCTAAATTAGCCCTCGCCATGCCTGCCTGGGGGGCTGCGATCTGCGAAGCTGTCGCCACTTTTGAAGGCTGCTGGGGGGTCCAGCGGAGTGACGCCACGCGGGTCCCGAAGACCTGGCGGCGCGCCTGCGGGCGGTTAGTTTCCGCGCTGCGCGGTGCAGGGTGACGGCGTGGAACCTGGTGGGCGATGTCGGCCTCGCTCGCTTCTTGCACCAGCTATGAGCTGCTGATTCTTTGGAACGCCAGAGCGACATGGCGCGAACTGCGCTGCTTGTCCAACGTGCCACTAGAAAGTAACCGCGACCCTTTTTCTTCATCCTGGTTCTTTGTTGTCGCCCTCTTCCTACTTCGCCGTCTCACTGCTGCTGTCGGGTTAACTTGTCGGCCCCTCGTCCGTCCTTTCCTCCCCCCCGTCCACACCCCCAATTCCTCTTCGAGCCCGGGGCCTCAGTCCTTGTCCTTTTTTGCTGTCCTGAGAGTCGCGCAACGAGAGCGCTTCCAATAAAGCTTGCACAACCAATGACCGATGTTCTGTAGTCATCGGCCACACTATTCTCGAAAGCTCCTCTTGTCAATTACTGCAAATGGTCTGGGTACGTCGCAGGGTATTTTGTTGTTCCACGCGCTCCCACTTGGCGTCCCTTGCGGACGCACGCAGTGGGCACGGAAAACATGGGTAGGATGCCCAACAACAAGTACTACTTAGGCGTAACGAATGTTTCCTGCGGCCCCATGGCGTCAAGATGGTTCCACGATAGCCTCAGACGGGCACGAAGATGACCTCGGGGCGACCCCAAGAAGACCCCGTGGCCCCTGCAGGATCCAGACGCAACGTCGAAATGGCCTGGGGGCGAATCCAAGGTGGCCCAAGATGTGAGCGATGCCCTGGAGACCTGGCGCGGTGGCCCCAGAGCGACCCCGAGGTGGCCGGAGCATTCCCAGAGTACAACACCATGATCTTAAGATGACCTGGAGATGATTTCAAGATGACCTCAAGACGACCCGAACACGTAATACATTGGCGGAATTGGGTCCCACCGCGGGCTTTATCCATAATCCTATTTTTCAGGGGTGGGATTTACGGTTGGCTGGACAAAAACTATATAATCAAAAAAGGGAAATACTCGCCAAGGATCCCGCCGAGACCACGCAAGAGGGCCATCTTGCTAGGCCTCTAGGGGGGGAGGGGGGTTCAACGCATTCTGCCCCTCAACCCCGTCGGGGCCGTTGCCAAGAGGGGTGCAACGTAGGCGAGCACACAAGGCCATCGGGCCCAACTCAGAATTCAAGGAACTTTCGGAGCGGCGATGTATTGTCCAAAACCGACGGCGCCCGCTGTTGGGCAGGCGGCCTTCTGTCTCAAATGGACAATATTCGCCGCGGCGCGGACAGCGAGTTCTGCTGAGAATGAAAATGAACTGCTCCTGGGCATCGCACCCCATTCTTTCCGTACCCGTGTCGTCCGTGCCGATCCCTGCGCTCCAAGCAGAGGCTCGCCCGCGCGCGGGTTCTTTCCAGGGAGAACGAAACTGACGCCGAGCACAAGGGGCTCGACCCGTGCCGCACCGCAGCGGACTTCCCAAAATCGATCGGCGAAGCAAAGACCGGCCAGGTGGGCGTCGCCCGCCAAACCGTAAGAAGAAGAAAAACGCCACAACACACAAACTGTTGGCGCTCCGCGCGGACTTCTGGGATCTGCGCTGGACACCACTCCCCGCCGCGCGGAGCACCCCAGGGGCGGCGCCGGAGGCGCAGCCGAGGGGGGAGGGGGCCAGCGCGGATCCAAGAAATCCGCTCAGAGCGCCAAAAGTTCGGTGGACAAAAAAAACTCAAACCTACCCTCCCACCATACCCTGACCTTCCACGAGGGCCAAAAAAATAGCACCAGGACCTCGGCGTCTCAACTCCTGTCGAGGCTCTCACCTGCCCAGGTAGGTATAGAGGTCTGGAGGGCTCTCTTTTTTGTTCCACCCTGCAAGGTCAGGGTAGGTGTGTGTGTGTGTGTGCTGTGCTGTGTGTGTGCTGTGTGCTGTGTGTGTGTGTTTGTATGTGTGTGTGTGTGTGTGCGTTGTCGTGCTGTCTGTGGCGTTTCTTCGTCTCCGAACCCAGCCGCGCTGGGCCCAGGACGCGTCGGCGAGAGGCCGAGGGCCCCGCGGGGCCGCGCCGCCGGCGCCCCCCCACGCGTGGGGCGGCGTGGCGCACGCGGCCGCCCCGGCGCGCAAGAGGCCCGGAGAGGAAGCCCGGAGCACTCGGAGCGCAGCAGCTCCGTCGAACGGCCGCGCGGGAGGTCGCCGCGCAGCGCGCGGGGCGAAGAAACCCAGGATGCCCTGACGACGAGCATGCGGCTTCTTGCTGCGCGCCCCCACTGTAGGTTTAGGTCGGGCACGTCCCCTACAGGCGGACCTTGGACGAAAAACAAAAACAAAAAAAGGTGGACAGGTCGTCCCCGAACTCTTTTTTGACGGTCCTTGAAAATTCCCCCTGTAGAGGGGCATGCCCGACTTACGCGCAGGAGGTAGATGAGACGAGAGGACTGCGAGTTCCATGGTACGCGCAGAGAAATACTAGTACTACATGTACCCCTTGGAGGCGCGCGTCCGACCCGAACATTACTACACCCGTCTTGCAGCTTATCGTATCCCGAGCGGTGTGGCCAGGAAGCGCCCGCCACGACGCATGTACTATCAGGTTTCTCGGTGCGCGCGTCGCCCCTGGGGGGGCGTCGCACACATAGTACTAGCATGTCAGGGTGACACCGACTCCAGGTCGCATGGCCTCACCTTCTGTAGGTCCTCTCCTCGAGCCACTGCGGCACCTCGGCTCCCGGGCACTCGTGCAGCGCCTCCACGATGCCCGACAGCCCGGGCTCCCGGTCGCCCACGAAGGAGGTGGCGACGCCCTTGTTGCCGATGCGCCCCGTGCGGCCGATTCGGTGCACGTAGTCGTCCCCATTGGTGGGCAGGTCAAAATTGATGACGTGGTCGATGCCCGGCAAGTCCAGCCCGCGCGCAGCGACCTCTGTGGCGACCAGCACCTGGGACCGCCCACTCTTGATCTCGACGATGGCCTTGTCGCGGTCCCGCTGCATCTTGTCGCCGTGGATCCCGATGGCGCGAAAATTGGAGTTGCGGTTGATGTGGTAAACAATGTTGTCGACAGTGGACTTCATGTTCGCGAACACGACGGTCTTCGGCTCGCCGTCTGTCCCGGTGACCGACTCCAGCGTGGGGACCAATTGCTGGAACTTGTCTCCCCAGCCGATGTCCTCGAACCGCTGCTCCACGTCGGCCGCCGCAACGCCGACCCTGCCGACGTTGATCTGCATGTAGACAGGGTCCAGGAAGTCCAGGGCCATGTTCTGCATGTCCTCGGGGAAGGTGGCGGAGAACATGATCGTCTGCCGCCCGCCCTCCCCAGGCCCGGGCATGCCAAAGTCCTCGATGATCTCGCGGATCTGAGGCTCGAAACCCATGTCTAGCATGCGGTCCGCCTCGTCTAACGCCAGGAACTTCACGTTCTCCACGCTGATCACCCCGCGCTTGAGGAAATCTACCAAGCGCCCGGGGGTGGCTATGACGATCTCGGGGCCCTCCGCCAGCTGCCTCAGCTGTGGCAGCGCCGGCGCGCCCCCGTAGATGGCGACCACCTTGGCATCGGTCTTGAAGACGAGCCTGCGCGCCTCGTCGGCGATCTGCTGAACCAGCTCGCGCGTAGGCGCCATGACGATGCTGGTGACCGGCACGGGGCCCTCCTTTAGCTCCACGGGGCCCTCGCGGAGGGCGGTGGCGATGATGGGGATCAGGAAGGCCGCCGTCTTGCCGCTTCCGGTCTGCGCCGTAACCATTACATCGGCGCCAGCCGCGACAGCGGGTATGGCGTATTTCTGGACGGGCGTAGGCACGTCATAGCCGCACTTCTCGATCGAGGCCGCGAGGCTCGCGGGGATGTCGAACTTCTCGCAAGCGTCCTGGAACGACTCCATTGGCTGTTCGTTGCCGGTGCCCCCGATGGTCTCCACCTTGATGTCGTCGTACTTGGCGAAGTTGATCCCCGCTTTGACGTGCGCCGTTTTGAACACCGCGCGCTCCTCCCTCGCCCAGTGCATGTCGTCACGGACGATCTTGCCGCGCCTGACCAAGCTCCTCTGAGTCGCGTAGAACTGGTCCACCTCCCTCCTGGACTTGGCCTCCGCCGCCGCTGGATTGAAGCTGCCGTCACCCCCTCCGTAAGCGCGCCGGCGGGTGATCGCGAGGGTCAGGCCGCACGCAGCTCCAGCAGCGATGGGCAGCATGGAGTCGGCACCTGCATGGCCAAAACCTGCGCCGCTGGCGCGAACGGGCTCGGGCGCGGCGGCGCCGGGCCGCACCGCCAGGCGCGCGCCCTGAAGCTGCGGGGCGCCCGCCGCGACGGCGAAGCACGGTCGCGGCTGCATCGTAACGCGCGGGGAGGGGGGGGGGGGGGCGTGCGCGGCGAATATCGGAGCGGGCTGGGCAGAGAGCGCCTTGTGCCAAGAAACTTGGAGGGAGGGTTTGTTGCAACAGCTTGGATGCGTTTTGGGTTTACACTGGTCCTCCTCCTCCTCCTCCTCCCCCTCCTCCTCCTCCTCCTCCTCCTCCTCCTCCTCCTCCTCCTCCTCCCCCTCCTCCTCCTCCTCCTCCTGCGCCCCATCGTACTTCTCCGCCGCGGCCTCCTCCTCCTTCTACTCATCCTCCATATCATCTTCTCCTTTTCCTCCTCCTCCTCCTCCTCCTCCTCCTCCTCCTTCTCCTCCGTCTCCTCCTCCTCCTCCTCGTCCTCCTCCTCCTCGTCCTCCTCCTCCTCCTCCTCCTCCTCCTCCTCCTCCTCCACATGGCTCCTCATCCTTGCTCCTCCTGGCTCCTCCTCCTCCTCCTCCTCCTCCTCCTCCTCCTCCTCCTTCCCCTCCTCCTCCTCCTCTCCTCCTCCTCCTCCTCCTTCCTCCTCCTCCTGGCTCCTGGCTCCTCGTCCTCCTCCTCTTCCTCCTCCTCCTCCTGCTCCTCCTCCTCCTCCTCGTCCTCCTCCTCCTCCTCCTCCTCCTCCTCCTCCTCCTCCTCCTCCATTCGTCTTCCTTATGAAGAACTCCTCCCTGTCGCACCCCGAGGCCGGTCGGAGGAGCGGGCCGGCCGCGTCGCCTGAGACTTGCCTACCACTTATGAGACTGAAGCTTAGAAGCTAGCGGGAGTTTCAAAGATGGCGGGCGGGTCGTTTCCAACATGTGGTTCTCGCATTAGCGCTGCGCACATTCAAGATGTGCAAGAGCTTCAAGGGTTGAGGGCGGGTCGTTCTCAACATATCGCTCTCGCCATAGCGCCGCGCACAATCGTCTGCACGAGTTTCACGGATTGCGGGCGGGAAGTTTTAAAATGTTGCTCGCGCCTTAGCGCCACGCGCAGTCGTCTTCACCACGTGCAAGGGCTTTACGGATTGAAGGCAAGTGATGTTCAAAATGTGGCTATCGCCTTACAGCCGCGCGCACTCGTTCTGAAATTCACAAGAGATTATCAGGATTGAGGGCAGGTCGTTTTCAAACTGTGGTTCTCGCCTTAATGCCGCGCACATTAGTTTAACCACGATTGCGAGGGTTTCGCAGATTCGCATAGTTAACCTTCCAACAATTGTGCTTTCGAGCGAGTCAGTACTGTCAGGGCGAAGCAGTCACGTTGGGTCGCGGTGTTGGAATCCCAGGAATGGTCTTCTGGCACGAGTCAGGATCGTCACGACGCAAAAATAATGTTGGTTTGGCGTTGAAGTCCCGAGAGTTGTGTTTTGGCAAACTTCAGGATTATCACACGGTTCTCTCCCAAGGGGGCACTTCCTTCAGTGGAGGTGAATCCTTGTATGGGGCCTATGAAGAGGAAGCTTTGGGGAGGGTGTATCCCAGCATCGTTGATGAGTCTTGCGTGTACACGTCGGTCGGAAGAAGTGGGTAGCAACATGAAGTAGAAAGGCGTTGGACGTAGACTCGGTTCCGCCCGCTCCCTGGAGAAGAAGGAAAAGGGAAACCGCTCGACTTTTGAAGTAGGAAGACGCCTAAAGCAGATTTGGATTCGGGAATCCGAAAATACCTACTTTCAACGACCGGCGTGTACAGTGGTCCTCCTCCTCCTCCTCCTCCTCCTCCTCCTCCTCCTCCTCCTCCTCCTCCTCCTCCTCCTCCTGTGCCTGACTGAACCTCTGAGGAGGAGGAAGAAGAGGAGGAAAAGGAGAAGGCTCGCCTGCCAGCCTACCGAGTCCGTCCTCGCGCCACCGCTTGGGCCACTGGGGCGCTCCGCGCCACCGCTCGGAACTCCCGCGCTCCCGGGGGCGGGGAGCACGGGACCACCCCTGGGAGGAAGCGGTGGCGGCGGCGGGCGGTCTTTGGAGCCCCCGAAGCCTTGGAGGAGCCGCACCAGCGCGTCGAGGTCGGCGTCGCCCTCGCGCCCGCACAGAAGCCGCGCCGCCGGCGCCGCCAGCGGTGCGAACGGCGAGAACACGGGCCGCGGAGGGCCGTCCCCAGACAGGGCGAAGCACAGCCAGGCCGCGGGCGCGGAGGCCAGCGCGTTCACGAGGCCCTGGTCCGCAAGCTCCGCCTGCTCCGCGAGGAGCAGCTTCACGGGCAGGCTCCCGGCGCCCTCCGCCGCCAGCACCGCGCCCGCGGCGCCCCGGCACCGCCGGCCCACCCGGAGCACGAAGACGCCGCGGGGGGGGGCCTCCGCCTCGCGAGCGCCGTGCGCGGGGCCCGGGCCCTCGCTGGCGTCGGCCCGCAGGGCCCCCGCCAGAGCCCTCTCGGAGGGCTGCACTCGGGTTCTCTTGGGTTCGCTTTGGTCCGGCTGCACCCGAGAGGAGTGGCCCGGGGCAAGAGTGGCCTTTGGTGTGCGGCTTTCGGGAGTCCGCGGGAGGGCCGAAGCCCCACGAGCGCAAGGCGGCAAGGTCGCATCGCGCTCGGCGATCAGGGGACCCCAGTGGGCCCGCACCAAAAGTCACTCCAGCCAAGGGTCACTCTTACGCGTCGTCGCGCTGCAGACTCCGGAAGACCAAACTAGGCCTGCGTACGGAAGGCGGGCGTGTGAGGTCGCTGGGCGCGCGTAAGAAGTGTGCGCTGGCATCCTATACACCAGTGCCATTTAGCAGGCCTCAACGAGCTTGGAAAGATCGTTTTGTGTGTAGGGTGGCTTCGGGCATGAACCAAACGACTTTAGAGCGGTGGCGCCTTCAAAAGAACCCAAGGGGACCCAAGGCTGGACCGCGAAGGAGGCCACGGCGGGATGGGAGCCCTGCGGGCTCGCGCAGCGCCCTGCCGCGCCCCCCGCCTCGCGCTGCGGGGCGCCGCCGCCCCCGAGCGCCTCCAGCCACCGCGCCGGCGAGGGGGCGCCGTCGGCGGCGCAGTCGACCAGCAGCCACCGCCCTGGAGGGGCGCCGGAGCGCCCCTCGCGCCGCTGAAGGGTGCCTGATGGGCCTGTTTTCCACCACCACAACCACCACAAGTTGGAGGGGGGAAAGAGGTGGAGGACGAGGAGGCGGAGAACGAAGAGGAGGAGGAGGAGGAGGAGGAGGAGGAGGAGGAGGAGGAGGAGGAGGAGGAGGAGGAGGAGGACTCGAGGAGAGGAGGAGGAGGAGGAGGAGGAGGAGGACCCCCTCCCCCTCCCTCCAACTTCTGGTGGTGGTGGTGGAAAACAGGCCCGTCAATGCCGAGGAGCCAGTGGAGCCCAGACAGCAGGCGCCCGTCCCCGGCAGCCTCGCGGCGGGCCTCGGCGCGCCCCTCAGCCGCCGCAGCCGAGGCCTCCTGCTGGCGGCGAGCCGCGGGGGGCAGGGGCCGAGCGGGGGGAGGGGGCCTTCCGAGGAGCTTCGCGCCCTGGCCTTCCAGAGAGCTGGAAGATGGCCCTCTAGACCTGGGGCCGGCACGGAGACGGAAAGAGCGCTTCAGAATCTTGACCGAAATTACTCACACCACCGTTCGTGCCGGGAGCCTTGGCGTTGAGAGCTTGTTACGTCACCCCTCGCTCTTGGGAGCCTTGGTGTTCAGAGATTGTTGCGTTGCCGCCCGTTCCTGAGCCTTGGCTGGGCCTTGGTGTCAGGAACTTGTTACGTCACCGCTCTCTGCTGGGAGCCTTGGTCTTATCAGCTTGTTTACGTCACCGTTCGCTCTTGGGAGCCTTGGTGTGTAGAACTTTCTGCGTTACCGATCGCTCTTTATTTGGCGTCTCTGGGCCTTCTCGGGAATCCCCTTTTGGATCCCTTTGGGGGGCCTCTTGGGGGCCTCTTGGGGGACTCTTGGAGCTTCTTGGGGGACTCTTGGGGTCTCCTGGGAGCTTCTCGGGGCGAAAGGCTAGGCTTTTCGGTTCGTGGTCCCCCCTCTTAGGGCCGTCTTGGGGCCCTCTTGGGCTGTCTTGGGCGCCTCTTGGGCCATCTTGGGGCCCCTTGGGCCGTTTGGGGGGCCTCTTGGGAGCCTCTTGGGCCGTCCGTCGTCAACGCCGTGAAAGCCGAAAAGCCGTAGATGCTACAAATGCATGTGTTTTCAAATGAAAATCAATGATTTGGGCCTCTTGGGGCCCTCTTGGGACGCCTCTTGGGCGCCTCTTGGGGCGTCTTGGAGGCCTCTTGGGACGTCTTGGGGCTGTCTTGGGCGGTCTTAGGCTCTTCTGGAACGGAAAAAGGGAAGAACCCGAAAAACATACAAAAACCCAAGGGAAAACTCGAAAACGGCCATTACCAACACTGCGTCCGGGCCTCGCCCCTCCCCTGGACCCTCCCTTAAGGGCTTCGCCCCACACTAGAATGTCATCACTCGTACCTCGCTCTTTCCGTTACCTGTAGACCTGGGCCGGCACGGGAGCGGAAAGAGCGGACCAGGGACTTGCCCGAGGTGGCTCACGGCACCCTTCGCTCTGGGGAGCCCTGGTGGTGAGAGCTCATTACGTCACCACTCTCTGTTGGGAGCCCAGGTGCTCTAAGACTTATGCGTTGCCGCTCGCTCCTGGGAGCCTTGGTGTTGAGAGTTGTTTACGTCACCGAGCTCTGGGGAGCCTTCGTGTTAAGAGCTTGTTGCGTCACCGCTCGCTGTGGAGAACCATGGTGTTCCTTAGCGTCTCTGGGGCTTCATGGGAATCTATTGGGGGGCCTTTTGGACCGTGTTGGGACTCTTGGGCCGTCTTTGGGCTTGCCCAGTCCCTACCTACACCCAAGCAGCCCAGACTCCATACCGCCTCTTCGGGCCCGCTTGGGAGCCTCTTAGAGGGCTCTCTTGGGGCCGTCTGGGGGCCCTCTTGGGCCGTCTTGGCTTGGATCGTTTTCGGCCCCTTTGGGGGGCCTCTCCTCTGGGGCCGTCTTGGGACGATCTTTGGAGCCTCCGGGGCCGTCTTGGGACCGTCAGGGGGCCCTCTTGGACAGTTTTGGGCCCCTTTTGGGGCGCCTCTGGGGCCGTCTTGGGACGATATTTGGGGCCTCTTGGGCCGTCTGGGACTGAAAATGGGAGGACCCGAAAAACTGTAAAAAAACCTTCGGGAAATCAATGTGTTTGGCCTCCTGAGGCCCTCTCGGGGGCCCTCTTGAGGGCCTCTGGAGCCGTCTCGAGACTCTCTTGGACCGTCTGGAGGCCATCTGAGGCTCTCTTGGGGCCGTCCTGGGGCCCTCGGAAGCCGTCGTGTGGCCCTCTTGGGCCGTCTTGGGGCCCTCTGGCCGGCTCACCCGAAGAAGCACGACAAAACGGGCCATGGGAGCCGCCAGGGAGCGCAAAAATACTAAGGACAACAGGCCAGTAGACCAATGTCTTCGGCCGTGCCCCCTCCCCTGGACCCCCTCCCTGAAAGGGCCTCGCCCCCTGCACAACGTCTCTCGCTCGTACCTCGCTCTTACCGTCACCTGGCTGGGCTGCTTCGTCAGATTTCCTCAGGCCTCGGCTGGAGCTTGGACGCAGGAGCCCCAGTGCTATTTCCGAGCCCTCCTGGAAGGTCAGCGTGGGAGGGACCGGAGCCTTCCGAGAGTTTTTTGCTGTGGACGTGGGTCAGAATCAAGCGCAGACCCTCTGGCAGCACCAGGACCGAACGAGGGCCCGAAGGAGGCAAACGAGCGAGGGCCAGAGGAAACACACAACGACGGCGGAGGGACAGCGAGCGAGCGAAGAGCGGAGGCCCGAAACCCGTAGGGACGCTCAAGCAAGGCAAAACTCAGCAGGCAAGGCCTCGTACTTTGAGAGATGATGGGCCGGTTCTCCACCACCACCACCACCATAAGTTGGAGGGGGGAAGGAGGTGGAGGAGGTGGGAGGAGGAGGAGGAGGAGGAGGAGGAGGAGGAGGAGGACCCCCTCCCCCTCCAACTTATGATGATGGCGGTGGGAAGCAGGCCCATCGAGAGACTGAGCCTTCTGAGAGAGGGCCTCTCGGAAGCCGGGAGGGCTCCCGCTGCCTCCCCAGAGGGTCGCCCACCTCGAGCGCCGACCCACCGCCTCTCGCGCGGCGCCAGTCCTCGCCGCGGCGCTCCGCCGCCCACCACGCCTCCCGGTGCCATCGGAACCCGCCCTCGGCCCCGGCGGCAGCCCCCCCCCCTGGGGCGGCGGGGCCGCGCAGCTCGCGTGGACCCGCGCGGTCGACGCGCCCGCCCAGCTTCTCGGCCACGTCGGCGAGGAACAGGATCCAGAAGTCCGACCTCGCCTGAGCGCGCAGCGCGCGACGATGCCGAGCCGATCCCGCGACCAGACCGGTTCGATCGCTAGGCCGACGACCCGGGGCAACCCCGATAGGCGATCGCACCACCGAGGGCCCGGTCCCAGACTTGGCGGACGCCGGGGCCTCAGCGGGACGTGGGGGTGGCCCAGGGCTGGAGAGGGGGCTCAAAGCCTGGCTGAGGGAGAGGGGCGTTCCTCGTCCTCCTCCTCCTCTTCCTTCTGGCTCCTCCTCCTCCTCCTCCTCCTCCTCCTCCTCCTCCTCCTGGCTCCCTTCCTCCCCTTTATTCTTCTTCAGTATGATCACTCATATCATATTGCGCATTAATAGTATGATGATGTTGCTTCGTACTAGTAGTACTCGTATTATTTCTATCATTACTAGCATTGGTACGATTATTATTAGTAGTAGTAGTAGTAGTAGTAGCAGTAGTAGCAGTAGGAGTAGGAGTAGGAGTAGTAGGAGTAGTAGTTGTAGTAGTAGAAGTAGTAGTAGTAGTAGTAATAGTAGTAGTAGTAGTAGTAGTAGTAGTAGTAGTAGTAGTAGTAGTAGTAGTAGTAGTAGTAGTAGTAGTAGTAGTAGTAGTAGTAGTAGTAGTAGTAGTAGTAGTAGTAGTAGTAGTAGTAGTAGTAGTAGTAGTAGTAGTAGTAGTAGTAGAAGTAGTAGTAGCAGTAGTAGTAGTAGTAGTAGTAGTAGTAGTAGTAGTAGTAGGGTTAAACCTCTCCTTCGTGTCTACTAAGAATGAATGGGTAAGGGTAAGGGTTCGGGTTCGGGTTCGGGTTCGGTTCCACACAATCAGTTTAAACCACATAGACTAACATAGAATAGTCGGAATTTAATCGTACACGAAGCAGGAGTTCGGAAACCCACAATTTCGCCATTCGCTGATAGGAAAACAATACAGGGGCTATAGAGCTAATAGTACACGAAGATGAGGTTCGGAAGCCCACTGATTCTAATAGTACACGAAGAAGGGGTTCGGAAACTCACAATTTCGCCGTTCGCTCGTAAGAAAACAATACAGGGGCTATAGAGCCAATAGTACACGAAGGTGAGGTTCGCAAACCCATTGTGAAAAACGAGAAAACAGCGTTCCTCTTTTCCTGCTCGCTTTCCTCTTCCTCATCCTCCTCCTCCCCCTCCTCCTCCTCCCCCTCCTCTTCCTCCTCCTCATCCTCCTCCTCCTCCTCCTCCTGCCCGTCCCCCACCTCCTCCTCCTCCTCCTCCTCCTCCTCCTCCTCCTCCTCCTCCTCCTCCTCCCCCCTCCTCCAGCCTCGTCCTCGTCCTCCTCCTCCTCCTCCTCCTCCTCCTCCTCGCTCCTCCTCCTCCCTCCTGCCTCCTCCTCCTCCCTCTCCCCCTCGCCCCCCTCCTCCTCCTCTCCTCCTCCTCTCCTCCTCTCCTCCTCCTCCTCCTCCTCCTCCTCCTCCTCCTCCTCCTAACCATCACGAACCAGAAACGAATAAAACCATCATGCCTTCCCGAATAAAACCAGAACGACGTCCTTATGAAAACCCACTCTCAAGTGGACCAGAGGGCCACGATCCTCGTGAGGGGTGTTCCGGCATTGGGCGTCGGTGGGCCGTCGGCAGCGCTCCACATTGGGCCAGGGCCACGATCCATGTGAGAGGTGTGCCGAACTTCAGCGTCGGGCGGCGATCCAAATGTGGCGAGGTCTACGATCCGTGTGAGGGGTGCGCCGATATTGCTCATCGGTGGGCCGTCGGCAGCGCTCCCAGGTGGGCCAGGACACGATCCTCGTGAGCGGCGTGCCGGAATTGGACGTCGGTGGGCCTTCGGCAGCGCTCCCACTTGGACCAGGGCCACGATCCTAGTGAAGTGCGCGCCGGAATCGCGCGTCGGAGGGCCAGGCCCACGATCCTCGAGAGGGTTGTGCCGAAATGAAGCGGCTGGCAGTGGCGGTTGCTCCAAATCCGACGTCGACACGAAGGACAGGTGTAAAACTGTCGTTTTTTGTTCGCTTCTAATACGAATACAATCTACAGCCTCTACAGCGAATAGTGCACGAAGGTAGGCATTGGCGCGAAAGACACGAAGGCCAGGTTTGAAACTAATGTTTTCGTAATTCCCCTGGTAGGAGTTCTATTAGGCCTGATACACAAGAAGAGTACACGAAGGTGAGGTTTGTAGCGACACGAGGACCAGGTGCAACCCTAGTAGTAGTATCAGTAGTAGCAGTAGTCTTGGTTGTAGTAGTAGTAGTAGTAGTAGTAGTAGTCGTAGTAGTAGTCGTAGTAGTAGTAGTAGTAGTAGTAATACTAGTAGTAGTAGTAGCCGCAATGCTGTAGGATGCACTACTAGTAGTCGTACGTAGTAGTCGGTAGTAGAGTAGTCGGAGTAGTAGTATATGTAGTAGTAGTAGGAGTAGTAGTAGTAGTAGTAGTAGTAGTGGTAGTGGTAGTAGTAGTAGTAGTAGTAGTATCAGTAGTATCAGTAGTAGTATTGGTAGTAGTAGTAGTAGTAGTAGTAGTAGTAGCCACAATGCAGTAGGAGTACTACTAGTAGTCGTAGTAGTAGTATTAGTAGTAGTAGTAGTCGCAGTAATAACCACAGTAGTAGTAGTAGTAGTAGTAGTAGTAGTCGTAGTAGTAGTGGTAGTGGTGGTGGTAGTAGTAGTAGTCGTAGTAATAGTAGTAGTGATAGTAATAGTAGCAGTAATAGTCGTAGTAGTAGCAGTAGTAGTAGTAGGAGTCGTGATAGTAGACGTAGTAGTAGTAGTAGTAGTAGTAGTAGACGCCGTCGTTGTAGTAGTAGTAGTAGTGGTAGTAGAAGTAGAAGTAGTAGTAGTAGTCGTAGTAGTAGTAGTAGTCGTCGCAGTCGTAGTCGTAGTCGTAGTCGTAGTCGGAGTAGTAGTAGTAGTAGTAGTAGTAGTAGGAGTAATAGTAGCACAAGTATTATTAGTGATAGTAGCATGAGTATGCGCATGTGTTGTATTACTCTGCATGTTAATGATATTACTCGTTTTGGTAGTATGACTTGTCGTATTCGTATGCATGTCTTCTTTAGCTGTATACTTGTTCTTCTCCCTGATATGAATCGTTTCTCCTCCTCCTCCTCCTCCTCCTCCACCTCCTCCTCCACCTCCTCCTCCTCATGGCTCCTCCTCCTCCTGCTCCTCCTCCTCCTCCTCCTCCTCCTCCCCCTCCTCCTCCTCCTCATCCTCCTCCTCGTCTTCCTCTTCCTGGCTCATCCTGGCTTCTTCTCCTCCTCCTGGCTCCTCCTGGCTCATCCTGGTTCCTCCTAGCTCCTCCTCCTCCTCCTGGCTCCTCCTCTCTCCGCCTGGCTTCTCCTGACTCCTCCTGGCTCCTCCTGGCACCTGCTCCTCCTCCTGGCTCCTCCTGACTCCTCCTGGCTCCTGCTGGCTCCGCCTCCTTCTCCTCCTCCTGGCCCCTCCTGGCCCCTCCTGGCTCATCCTGGCTCCTCCTAGCTCCTCCTCCTCCTCCTCCTCGTCCTCCTCCTGTTCCTCCTCTTCCTCCTCCTCCTCAGCATCGTTTTCTGCGTCTTCTCATTGTTATATAGTTGATATTAGTAGTATTAGAAAACTGCGTCGCCTTAGTATTATTATTATGAGTAGTATTATTAGTAATAGTATTACTAATATTAATAATATTATTCCTATTAGTCGTATTAGTATCATTACTAGTATTAATAGTATTCTTTTCATTATTATTAGTAGTATTAGTATTATTATTATGATTTTTGGTATTACTAGTAGCATTATTATTATTCCTCCTCCTCCTCCTCCTCCTCCTCCTCCTCCTCCTCCTCCTCATTATTCTTAGTAGTCTTCTTCTTCCTCCTCCTCCTCCTCCTCCTCCTCCTGCTCCTCC